CCGTCAGGTACCTGTGTTTCACTCTGTTGACTGTATATTAATTTGCTGTTCGAAGTAACTGGCTAGGGCAAGGAAAGCTAAGAAGATGACCTCAAATCATGATGGAAATCTTGATAATTTGGAAGATGACGAATTGGGGAGTTGGGAAGAGATGGAAGATAGTGGGGTAAGATCTTAAGAAGCTTTTAGTTTCCATAATACCGACTGTAGGTCTAAGAATATATTAATTTCATATAGGCCTAGGCTTACCTCCATAATTAACAGTGACTGTATAGTAGTGTATGGTCCCTCGGTGTAGGTCAGTTTGACTGCCTCCCTCCCTTTCTGTATTTAGATGTGTCAACTTGGTCAAAATATTTACTTATAAAGGCATCAATGCATGCACAATGCCTGAGTAGGTCCTATGCATCGTATTTATCATGGTGTAATCAGAATTAATAGCATGAACATGGGGTAGGCCCCTCCCCCGTGTGCCAAGTATTTGGAAGTGCTACCTAGGCCCCTCATGCCCCTAGGCCTACCCAGTCCCTAGCAGTATGATTTGTCAGGTCTCAGTAGAAATCATGAAAGTGAAAATAAAATGTAGACTAGATTCAATATGGTTTGGTAGGCAGGTACGTTCAAACATTGAATCTACTGTCATTACCGTCAACTGTGGCCAGCCAGTCAGTGTCAGTGATCTCGCTGCACCATTTGCCAATCTTGATGCCCACATTATACCCCATCATGCCCCTCTTCTCCCAAATTAGTTCCTGTGGAAGAGTTTCCTTGGATTTGGAAAGGGAGGGAAAGTTATAGATTTTTGACAAGATCAATGAATAGTGCAGCTACAGCTTTCTTTTGGTCACGTTTAAATATTGCAGGTGTTGGATGAACGTCTTGAGAAGCAACTAAAATCAAACCAGATGATGGCAGACAGAGACAGACAGTCACAAGCTCCCATCATGCTTCAAGAGGACTCAATAAGGACTGCATATCAACCACAGCTGAAGATTCTCAGGAGACCCACAGGATCTGATGGCAGTGAAGATCTCGGCAAGGAATCCAAGCAGGCAGTGGTAATGCCATGTCCCAGCTATGACATCTGTCCCAACTACAGTGCCATAGTCGGGCTAGTCCAACAGTGGCATAGTGCCATCATGTACCAAAATCGTTTCAATTGTCAGTAACTTGTGGAAGCAGAATCTGGTTTATATTTGTGTCATGGATTAGATGAACGAATTCTGTTAACTGTGAGCCGCAGAGAGAAGGTTGAGGAATGTTTGACAGGAATCTGCCGACAATAGTTGATCTCCCTAACTACTGCGCGGCAGTTAGGCCATCCAAACTATAGTGGAGACTGGTGCCATAGTTGGGATATAGACTGGTACCTTAACTCTTTGGCCAGTTCTTCTGGGAAATATATGCATAGTAAAAAGTACCAGTGCTCGATCTTGCCCTCACGGTTGACAAAGTGATGAGGCTTGACAGGCACTCAAGCAACATTGTTTTTATTTTTCACTCCCTTGCATTCTCAGGCGCAGACTAAATCCCTAGCTGAGAGGGAAGCGGCTTATGCAGCAGCAAGGAGGAGAATTATGGGCTCAGCAGCAAACAGTGAGGAATCAAGGTAAGCCATCTTCAAGGCTCCTTGAGTTAACATTTACTCCAAAACACGTAGTCTGTCCAAATATCCATTCCTCTGAATATCAGTGACCATGATGGACTTCAATTGAATTTGGTTTCCTGAAAGGCGGACTTGTCAACCATGCACTCTTTAACATGATTAAAACCCTGGCTCAAGTTAATTTGACCAGGTGAAACTTGACTTGATAAACATAATAATGTAAAAAAACAAAAACAGAGTGAAGAAAGTGTTTGAAACAATGCACGTTCCTTTCAATGATGATGCCTCTTTTGGAAAACTTTGCAGGCAAGACGTAACTCTAGCCAAGCCATCAACAAGTAGCACGAGACTAGATGTTGAGTCTGGGAAACGCCAACCAGCTAAGGGCAAGAGGTAACAGCAGGTGCCGATTTCACTCCACACCTGCACACCTGTGTACATTATTAGTTGATGAATAAAGGCATATTTTTATTTACTACAGTTTTTTATCCAAACTTATCTCACTTTATACTGGACTGATTTGAAGCTGCAGTAGTGGGTCATTCTGTAAATTAGGGGTCCAATGTTTTTTGTTTCCCTGTCACATCTGACATATGATTTTGTAGGATCAGAATGCATTTTCTGATTTCCAAGAGTGATGAATGTATGCAAATTATCTGCCAAACAAACAGACATAGTTTGAAATCAATTTCAATGATATTTCCAAGTCAAATTACTCAGGTCAGTTGTAACAGGGACACACAATTATCACACTTTTGGACCCTGAAGTCATAGAATGACCCTAGTGTGTGAAATCTCAGAGCAAGTGGAAACCTTTGCCCCCTAACAAAACTTCCCCAATCAAGATTCTTGATTCTTGGGGAAAGATTTTGCTGTCATAGCTAATCTATTCATCTCCCAAAATATTTCTTGCAGTTCTCCTTGGCTTCTTTCAAGCACATGCCCCCAATTAGATACTTATTGTGATAGTTTTTAAGATTAACCCCAACTTGCTGCTAAAAAAAGAATGATTTGACCTGGCCTCGTCCAAAGTTGTTGGGTGACTTTCCTGTTCCCTAGCTTAGAGTCCAGGAAGGTTCTTGGAAACAGATGATGACCTCACAGTGTGTCAAACACTGAGGACTACAGAGTGGTTCAGAGATATTGACTTCACTTTCCTGTCTAACTTTGTGTCAGAAAGACTTCACTCTTCATGCAGAGATTAACATGCACATTGTAGTGCTCTTTGAATAATTCATTTATTGTTCAGATATTTCTACCATCATATTCTTGTTTGTCAAGTTCGTCAAGATTCTCAAGTCAACACACTTTTCTGTAAGTAAATACACATGTACATGATGTAAACAGTTCTTTAATTCTTTTTACAGAAAAAAATTAACGTAGGATTGCTTCTTAATTTTTGTAGAAATCTTCGATGTCCAGGGAATGACTTCATTTAAACTGTTTCTCCTCGAGTCAAGTTTTTCACGATTGAAATGAGTTACACTAAGATAACCAGCTGAATAAGCTGGTATTTATTACATCGACTGTTGAGGATTAATCTATCATCTTGTAAACTCATGAGAGTGGGTGTGTAAGAGTTGACCATGAGAATTTGTATCTTAGTAAGTGGTATAGCACTCCTGGAGCACTGCAATTTTTGCCGTTAAAGGTAAACAGTGACACTGATGTGACCAGTAATAAAGATATTGTGATATAATAATCTTCACCGAATTCCCTTGTCTTATTGTTAATTTTCCATGAATTCAAGGACCTTTATTATCTTGAGTTCAGCTCAATTTGTGCTTCATGAAAGTTGGATGTGAAAGTAACATGACTTTGTAACCCACCATGAAAAATCTGAAAGAAGAGAATTATGGTGGAGTTTTGGAAATATTCCTTGGTAAATGCCCCCCCCCCCCCGTCCTTGCAAGTCCTTTCAGACTCGCCAAATAAATCACCTTCATTATTTAATATTAAGCATTGATTTCTATGCTTAACAGTAAATTATTAACTGAATTATTTTAGGCGTGCTCATTTTCTTCTTAGAGGGGTGGACTTGGAGTAGTGTTAATGATGAGCAAAATTTGCAGCTGAGAAGAACAAGACTAGGAAACAACTTATTCTCACAGAAAACATTTATTTATGTTTAGACGGCCCAAGCAAATCCAAAATCATCTGCAACAAAATATAAAACCACACACAGACTCTGATAAGTACTTTTAAAGCGTAATTTACATCCTCTTATTTCTACTTAACACAACTGAGTTTAACTACAAGCCCAGGGAAGGTTCAGCTGAGTTGCAGCTTTCTAATGAAATTAATTTGATATTTTCTTAAAAAAAATGGTTGCTTAGCAACAGAGTCCATGAATTTTTTTAAGGTGACATGAAGTACTAGTATGCTTCAGTTTAAATTCAATATTTATTCTGAAATATAAAATTTGGTTCATAAATGTGACCCGGCATGACAAAGAGTGTTAAGTCACATTCTGCTCTTTCCTATAAGAGTTCAAAGTCAAATATTGAAGTGAAGGTCAATTTTGGCGTTTTCCTAATACTTGGAAAGAGTAAACCATCTATTCATATTTTTTTTTCACAGGATGAGATATTTATGTGTTGTTTTAAAGGCAACCTAAAGCTTTATGTTCGCAAAAATGAAGACAAGATTTACTAATTCACAATGTCAAGGTATGAAAAAAGACAGTTACTAATTCCCCGTTATTGCAAGTGTAAAAAATACAAAATAGACTCATTATAGCAGTAATAAAAATATATACAAAGTATATACACAATTCTGTATCAACCATACATGTCATAATAAACAGTTAAATGTTTATTTAGACTTTCTTGAGGTTGATAAGAATTATCTGTAGTACTGCTTCACTTATTTCTTAAAACTCCCAACAATCTTTCATTCAATGATCGGACCATCGTTCCTCCATGGTCAGACAAACAACATCTAACATAAAAACCTTTGGCTGTCCGGCACTGTTGGGATAAGCAGGGTTACGTTTTGCAATGCGTTTGCTAGATATGTCTTAGGCAGAGTAGGACCTTATGTCCACTCTCAAAGAAAACATACACATGTATACATGACCAGTTTGTTCTTCAAAAGTGAATGGTCCCATGATGTTACTGAATACATTTAGTGATGAAATAATTGCAGAATAAAAAGTGACAATCCTTTTTTCAAGGAGAAGGCCAATGATGATATTCCAAAGATACAAAGTTGAGGCACAAAATACTGACTGAGTCTCAAGAGCTGCCCAATCAAGTACCTGTTGGTACATGTAGTTGGACTTGTTGCTGCCTAGCATTATAGTCAACTGTAGGCAAGTCCATGTAAGTCTCCTTTTTCTTACATTTAATGTACACACAATAGCTGACAAGGACGACAAGAATCACACATGAAGTACAAGCCAATGCAATGATGCAGCCTGCTGGGTACCAGACACCTGCCACAAAATAAAAGACAGATTACATGAATGCTGTAATAACCACTGAATTCCCTCTTTCTCCAACAAGTAAGGGCACATACGTGACAAAAAACGTGGAGCAAGACGTGAACATATGAAGCAAAGTGTGAGATGGAGATAACCTCCCTGCTTTGTGTTGGCCATTGTCTCACTGGAATCTGAGGAACTCTTTTCAGACATCTAAGGGAATGTGTTAGGTAACAATAGTCTAGAGTGTTTAGGGATTGGACATGTTAATGGGGCGGTACCCCTCGGTCTCATTTCTTGCTGGATATAAACCTTAAAGTTTGCGTGGGGGGAGATTAAAGCAATGCATGCAGTGTATCTCTTTAATGGGGGGAATATCTTCAGGGAAAGTCCCCTGTCAAACTTTGATTAAACGATGAGTTTGTTTAGGAATATTACCTGGTTGCACTTCGTCGTCTGGAAGATTCTCTTGAGTGCTCCTCGGTTCCCCAGAAGGTTGGGTCTGCGTGGGTGTCGTTCCTGTGGTAGATTCTGCATTCAAAACCAACAAGTCTTTGTGTTAGCATGCTTCACCATTTCAGCAAAGCGTGTTTACTTTACCAACTCCAAAAGATATGTAGCCTCAATCCTGCTAGAGAAATCCTTACCAAGTTCTTTTGGTTCTAGGGTGGAGGGCTCCCCAGGCACATTTGATGACAGGTTCATCGGCAAGTCATCATTGAGGCAGATGTTATCATTAATTGAATTTCCAGCCTGGACAGTGCACGCTCTGTGTGGCTGGCAGCTGGAGATGCTGTTATCAAATCCTTGAAAGTAACCATCCCTGCATGGCTGACAGGTGAAGCTGACCTCTCCGGTTGATGCTGCGAGGATCAAAAACCACTTGAGAATGCAGCAAGGTGGCGGTATCTCACTATGCTATGCAAATTCCTTACACTCACATTCTGAAATCCTTGAACTGTAGTGTACTTGTAACTAAACGTTTACTTGTCTTGTCTTTGTGTTTTTTTTTTAATTTAATAAGTAATGTTACAAACCGGGCCCAAATCTACAAGCATTGCTTTCACTGGGTACCCCTCTACAGTATCCTTTCTTAAGTGTATTGTAGTATCATTCAATCATATTTATGTATTAAGTAAAAGTTCTGTTATCGTGTGTGACTATTATGCTGTAGAAAATGAAATAAATCTTGTATCTTGAAATAGTGCCGCTGGTCCGTAGGGTGAATAAAATACAGCAGCTCGTCAGCTTCGTCATACAGCAACTTAGAGTCTCTGCTTGAAGGTGAGGTAGGCTGATAGTACAAGATTTACGCAAGACCAGAAGACGACACCGTTAGGGCCGAATCAGCTTTTTAAATTTTCTTCACTTGTGCCGTGCAAATCCACTCGTTTTTCTTGCAATGCTTACTACTCCCCGTCCATTCTCCAACTGCTCCAAAACATTTTCTTTTCCTAACATCTCCCCCACTTGTTTATTTTTATATTCTAATTAAGCATTCTCAAGTGTTTGAGTCATGAATTTCAATCCACTAGAACACCATCCCTGCATGGTGACACATGAAGTTGGAATGGAATCATGTACGTGTTGGTTATCCCATACTCTTCCCCCTGAGTAACTCGATCATACACAGTGTCATGTTCTCACACACACACATGGATTCATTTGCAAGTAGTGACTTGTGCCTCAGACAGATTCTGGCTGATGTATGGTTTGAAATTAACAATATTTTGCACTTGATTGATTCCATTCTGCATTATCAGAAATCACTGCTGTTTGGATGTCAGGAATTAAATGAGATGCTTGTTAGAGTTGAATATTTAATGCTACATTGCTGGTATCACCTGGCATTTTGAAAACACGTCATTCTATTGTTCTATAAGACTTGAAGCTTTGCACGGTGGAGATAGACAAAAGACAGGACTTACGGTAACACAATGTGGATAGATTTCCATTGGAAGAGGAATGGTTCTGATAAGAGCTGGTGAATGTACATGTATGCTCAATGTTTTGAACCATTCCAAAAGAGATCTATCCACATGGTGTCACCGCAAGCCCTGTCTTTAGTTTATTATTCTGTCTCAACCTTACTAACCAATGGTGTGGGATTCTAGACCTTGGCCAGCAGGGCAGCGTGGCTTAACTCGACACTCCCTCGGAATGGTTTCTCCCTTTGATGGATGAGGATTGAACCAACCCTCTTCACACTCGCATTTAATGTCGGACATTGCTGTACAATTAGCCACCTTCAATGGGTATAAGGTGAAAAAACAATTTCATGATGTCTTTTGCTGAGTTACTGACTAGCATCAGAGCACCACAGCACCCACATATTTGTAACCACTGATTATTTACATATACTTCTGGAAACAACATTTGAACAACGAGTTATTTCAGGCTGGTTTGAGGCAGAGCTCTGCTTGTGATGAAATTGTGCTAAGCATACAAACAATCAAAGGAACCTGGAAAGTTTTTTGGTGTGACAATCAGGGGTAACAACATGCAGCATACAATAGCCAACACGTCACCACGAGACACAACCCGTGATGTAGCACGCATACACACAAAACACAACTTCCTTGCAGCTAAAGTTCACTTTTCATACATTAATAAATGATCCCGTTTGCTTGCAGGTTACCTTAAATTGGTGATTACCACAGCTCAAAGAGCAATTGTATGGTTGGCTGCATTTATTTGCTTTGTCCATGTACTCCAGTCCCTCTTTTACAAATTTGCAACTGCAACAAAAGGAAAATTACAGATGCAGTTGAACCTCGTTAATAAGAGCACTGGATTTTTGCTTATAACAAGGAAATTTTTAAGTCCCCGTCTTTTGTTAATAATTGTTTTCATTCCTGATAATACAAGGTTCCTGTTTTAACAAAGTAATTTACCCAGTCTGAAGGACCTCATTAACGAGGCTTGATTGTACATGGTTTGTTCGTTGTGTAGTAAAGAGAAAGGATTCACAGGGTAATAGGTTGAAGCAGCAGCCCAATGAACATTTTTTCTTTTCTGCCGATCAGGGGGCAGGTCAGTCTTGGGTGGTGTGGGGAGTTACAGGCAAGGTGGTTTGGGGCAGTGTAAGGAGTAACAGATAGGCCGTGGTTTGGGGCAGTTAAGGGAGTAACGGGTGGGGTGGTTTGGGGCAGTTCAGGGAGTGATAGGCAGGGTGGTCTGGAGACAATGCAGGGATTGCTGAGTGGTCTGGGGTAGTATGGAAGATAATGGGTCCTTTAGTCTTTACTCTGTCACGTTTGCTTGAGTTCCATTTGGACCACCGCACTGACACAGCTGTTTGGCATATTTTCCAAAATCACACAATTCACAGTAGCACCCTCCTCGATCATCCTCTTTCTCGTATCGTCTGTCCTGAATGTGATTGGCGTCGAGTATACATCGTTCTCCCTACAGAAAAATACATGAACAACGTCCACACTGAGTAATTTTCC